TGGAGGTTTTCGCTTGGTGACTATCTACCTCAGAGGTCTCCAAACTTTTTAAACAAAGGGCCAGTTTACTGTCCCTAAGACTTTAGAGAGGTTGTACTGTGACCATCGGGTGTTGAAAATGTCCCACCATTAGTTGGAATAAAAAATGCCTCATCTTTAGTGTCATGGGGAGGAATTATGCCCCACCATTGGTGTCATTGGGCCCCATTGTTGGTGTCATTGGTAGGAATAGTGTCCCATCATTGGTGTGATTGGGAGGAATTTTGCCCATTCACTGGCATCATTGGGAGGAATTGTGCCCCATCACTGGCATCATTTGGTGGAACTGTGGCCATTAACTGGCATCATTGGGAGGAATTGTGCCCCATCATTGTTGTCCTTGGGAGGAACTGTGCCCCATTGTTGGTATCATTGGGAGGAATTGTGTCCCATCCTTGGTGTGATTGGGAGGAATTTTGTCCCATTGTTGATGCAATTGGGAGGAATTGTGCCCCATCACTGGCATTATTTGGAGGAATTGTGCCCCATCACTGGCATCATTTGGAGGAATTGTGCCCATTCACTGGCATCATTTGGAGGAATTGTGCCCATTCACTGGCATCATTGGGAGGAATTGTGCCCCATCATTGTTGTCATTGGGAGGAACTGTGCCCCATTGTTGGTATCATTGGGAGGAACTGTGCCTCATCATTGGTATCATTGGGAGGAATTGTGTCCCATCCTTGGTGTGATTGGGAGGAATTTTGTCCCATTGTTGATGCAATTGGGAGGAATTGTGCCCCATCACTGGCATCATTTGAAGGAATTGTGCCCCATCACTGGAATCATTTGGAGGAATTGTGCCCATTCACTAGCATCATTGGGAGGAATTGTGCCCCATCACTGGCATCATTGGGAGGAATTGTGCCCCATCACTGGCGTCATTTGGAGGAATTGTGCCAATTCACTGGAATCATTGGGAGTTGTGCCCCATCATTGTTGTCATTGGGAGGAACTGTGCCCCATTGTTGGTATCATTGTGCCTCATCATTGGTATCCTTAGGAGAAATTGTGTCCCATCATTGGCGTCAATGGTGTGAATTTTGCCCCATCATTAGTGTCATTGGGCCCCATTGTTGATGTAACTGGGAGGAACTATGCCCCATCATTGGTGTCCTTGGGAGGAACTGTGCCCCATTATTGGTGTCGGTGAATGAAATAGTGCCTCCAGGGCCTGATAACAAAAGCAAGCCACATTCGGCCCCCGGGCCGCAGTTTGGAGACCACTGATCTACCTCATCAGAAATTCTCCTAATAAAGGGGATGTTCAAACATTTGAATATTTATAAAAAAAAAATTGTATAGGTTTAAAAGACATAAGCTAAGAGCTACGCTACTATATAAAAGTTTTACTTGCTTTAGTAGCTTGAAAATGATTCTAATTGTATAGGAATTCCATCCTTTTTTAATTAGATCGAAGCTTCTCTTTAAATGATGCATGACCAAGGATTTGTCCGAATGACTTATTAAGTGAAAGGATGTCGCACTGTTTGGCCTCTATGGTGTCAGAACCCGCACGGTGGAAAGTCTCGAACGGAGAACAGCACTTAAAGGTTTACCATAGCATGTGATGTGTAATGGCTGTCTGGGTTTGCGTGTTTACTAAAGCCTGACATATTAAATATACATGAATGATATATGAAAATAAATATTTAATTTTGGCGAGAACAATGTAACTTCCAAAAAGTAATTGGAAATTTTTCAGGGTTGACTTCACATTTTTTCACGGTGAATAACTTTACATGTATATAGTGCAGATGTGATGGCTATATGTTAACTAAATGATTTATTGCCACGTATTCCACCAGGATACAAGTTCCACAATGCAGGAGTCACTCATTAAAAAAACAAAAACTTGGGCTCTATTTAATTTTGCTTTAACAAGTTTTTGAAAGTTCGTAAACATATTTTATCCTTGTCGCTTTTGTAATGGGAAAATATATGATAATTGATTTATAGGTTAAAGCTGAACGAAACTGCTAAATTGTATAAATGAAGTGCAGCGCTGATAAAATAACAATAAAACGACAATAAATGTTCACAAAAACTTCATAGGTGATGAAAGATGATAAATGATCCCAACTGTAGCAGAATTCAAATGCTTGTGCTTGAAAGGAATGATAAAATTGCACACTCACCAGAAGCGAATAGAATATGTGCATATAAATATATCCACCACGAACCACTTAGGGGAGCGGGGTATGTCAGACATCTGGTGAACTTCCTTCTAGGTATGGATCAGCGCAGCAGTATATCTTGGGATTAAGTGAAATCTGCTCATCCAGAGGTCCCCTTTAGGATGTATGGGTATTCTGCCTGGTTACAGGGATTAGTGCTGGATAAGTGAGGATCATCTGCAGGATCTGTAATTAATAGCTCCATACAGGAGCCACAGAAGAAGTGCCCATAGTGTAGTAATTTTCATAAGCTTTATTCCATGGAAATACAGTGGGGCAAATAAGTATTAAGTCAGCCACCAATGGTGCAAGTTCTCCCACTTACAAAGATGAGAGAGGCCTGTAATTGGCATCATAGGGAGACCTCAACTATGAGAGACAAAATGAGAAAACAAATCCAGACAATCACATTGGCTGATCTGGAAAGAATTTATTTGCAAATTATGGTGGAAAATAAGTATTTGGTGAATATGAAAAGTTCATCTCAATACTTTGTTATATATCCTTTGTTGGCAATGACAGAGGTCAGACGTTTCCTGTAAGTCTTCACAAGGTTGGCGCACACTGTTGCTGGTATGTTGGCCCATCCTCCATGCAGATCTCCTCTAGAGCAGTGATGTTTTGGGGCTGTCGCTGGGCAACACGGACTTTCAACTCCCTTCCAAAGGTTTTCTATGGGGTTGAGATCTGGAGACTGGCTAGGCCACTCCAGGACCTTGAAATGCTTCTTATGAAGCCACTCCTTCGTTGCCCGGGCGGTATGTTTGGGATCATTGTCATGTTGGAAGACCCAGCCACGTTTCATCTTCAATGCCCTTGCTGATGGAAGGAGGTTTGCACTCAAAATCTCACGATACATGGCCCCATTCATTCTGTCCTGTACATGGATCAGTCGTCCTGGTCACTTTGCGGAGAAACAACCCCAAAGCATGATGTTGCCACCCCCATGCTTCACAGTAGGTATGGTGTTCTTTGGATGCAACTCAGCATTCTCTCTCCTCCAAACACGACGAGTTATGTTTCTACCAAACAGTTCTATTTTGGTTTCATCTGACCATATGACATTCTCCCAATCCTCTTCTGGATCATCCAAATGCTCTCTAGCAAACTTCAGACGGCCCGGACATGTACTGGCTTAAGCAGGGGGACACGTCTGGCACTGCAGGATCTGAGTCCCTGGCGGCGTAGTGTGTTACTGATGGTAGCCTTTGTTACGTTGGTCCCAGCTCTCTGCAGGTCATTCACTAGGTCCCTGGGATTTTTGCTCACCGTTCTTGTGATCATTTTGACCCCACGGGGTGAGATCTTGCGTGGAGCCCCAGATCGAGGGAGATTATCAGTGGTCTTGTATGTCTTCCATTTTCTAATTATTGCTCCCACAGTTGATTTGTTCACACCAAGCTGCTTGCCTATTGCAGATTCAGTCTTCCCAGCCTGGTGCAGGTCTGCAATTTTGTTTCTGGTGTCCTTCGACAGCTCTTTGGTCTTCACCATAGTGGAGTTTGGAGTGTGACTGTTTGAGGTTGTGGACAGGTGTCTTTTATACTGATAACAAGTTCAAACAGGTGCCATTGATACAGGTAATGAGTGCAGGACAGAGGAGCCTCTTAAAGAAGAAGGTACAGGTCTGTGAGTGACAGAAATCTTGCTTGTTTGTAGGTGACCAAATACTTATTTTCCACCATAATTTGCAAATAAATTCGTTCCAAATCAGCCAATGTGATTGTCTGGATTTGTTTTCTCATTTTGTCTCTCATAGTTGAGGTCTCCCTATGATGCCAATTACAGGCCTCTCATCTTTTTAAGTGGGAGAACTTGTACAATTGGTGGCGGACTAAATACTTTTTTGCCCCACTGTATGTTAAAAAAGTATGTTTAAAAGTAAGCAGTATTGCAGAGAAAAGTGCAGCACTGACCGAGTTTAAAGATGGCCGCCGGACCTACACGTGGCTCCGGCGGCGTGACGTCACGGCGTGTTGGTTCCTCCTAAAGCTTTTCGTGCTAAAGCACTTCATCAGAGGGGAGACCAACCTGCTAAGTGAATGGGCTCCTTGAAGTCTTTGTTCGGCCAACAATTTTCCACCCGTCTACTTTGACAGAAGTCGTTTGAACAACAGCGGCACCCACGGTTCCAATTCTGGTTTATTCAGCAGGAAGCAGCCAAAATTTGAGCCACGTATGGCAGCCTTTAGTGTACATGCTTTGCTTCTGGAGCATTTTTTCGAACATTTAAATTAAAATTTTGGCAAAAGCTGGCAAACCCTTTGTGGTCGGCACACAGAATGTTTGCCAAGTGCCATTTACTAGTGATTAACGGTTTTAGAACCACCCTATAGCAGATATACTGCTACAGGGCAGCACCTGTGCGCAGGATCACGCATATATACGTCATTCTGCATTTTCGGGTCGGGGCGCGACATGTTTAATAGCGAAAAGTCCAAAATATTGTTTTTTTCTCAAAGTTGTTGGTCTTTTTTTGCTTATAGCACAAAAATTAAAAAACGCACAGGCAATCAAATACCACCAAAAGAAATCTCAATTTGTAGGAAAAAAAGGACTTAAATTTAATTTGGGTGCAGCGTTGCATGACTGCGTAATTGTTAAAGTAACTCAGCGCCATAACGCAAACAATGGCCTGGTCATGAAGGGGGGTAAATCCTCAGGAGGGCAAGTGGTTTGAATATTAAATATCAGCGCACCAGAGTGTAAGTACCATAGTCCCTGAGAACCTCCACCACCCCAGCAGAGTAAGAGATATATGTTAAAACAGCACTTAAAAGTTCAGACCAACAACACTATCATCAGTCCCACCCCTCAAGCCAGGGTCCTCGGTGTCATCATAGACTCCAATCTGTCCTTCCAGCCCCAGGTCCAATCGCTGACAAACTCATGTAGACTTCACCTCCGCAACATCTCCAAGATACGGCCGTTCCTAACCTCGGAAACCACTAAGCAACTCATTCACTCCCTTATTATATCTCACCTTGACTATTGTAACTCCCTCCTCATTGGCCGACCTCATCGCAGGCTATCCCCTCTTCAGTCTATCATGAATGCTGCTGCCAGACTCATCCACCTTACTAACCATTCCATATCTGCCACCCCTCTCTGCCAATCCCTCCACTGGCCTCCACTCGGTGTCCTCCACCCCTCTCTGCCAATCCCTCCACTGGCCTCCACTCGGTGTCCTCCACCCCTCTCTGCCAATCCCTCCACTGGCCTCCACTCGGTGTCCTCCACCCCTCTCTGCCAATCCCTCCACTGGCCTCCACTCGGTGTCCTCCACCCCTCTCTGCCAATCCCTCCACTGGCCTTCACTCAGTGTCCTCCACCCCTCTCTGCCAATCCCTCCACTGGCCTCCTCTCAGTGTCCTCCACCCCTCTCTGCCAATCCCTCCACTGGCCTCCACTCAGTGTCCTCCACCCCTCTCTGCCAATCCCTCCACTGGCCTCCACTCAGTGTCCTCCACCCCTCTCTGCCAATCCCTCCACTGGCCTCCACTCAGTGTCCTCCACCCCTCTCTGCCAATCCCTCCACTGGCCTCCACTCAGTGTCCTCCACCCCTCTCTGCCAATCCCTCCACTGGCCTCCACTCAGTGTCCTCCACCCCTCTCTGCCAATCCCTCCACTGGCCTCCACTCAGTGTCCTCCACCCCTCTCTGCCAATCCCTCCACTGGCTTCCAATTGCCCAACGGATACAACTCAAAACTAACACTGACGTATAAAGCCGTTCATAACACTGCCCCAAATTACAATACCAATCTTGTCTCCAAATATCACCCAAACCGTACTCTCCGCTCTCACAAGACCTCCTACTCTCTAGCTCCCTTGTCTCCTCCTCCCATGCTCGTCTCCAGGACTTCTCCAGGGCTTCCCCTATCTTCTGGAACTCCCTACCCCAATCCATCAGACTATCGCCTACTCTGCTGACTTTTAGGCACATCCTGAAAACCTCTCTTCAGGGAAGCCTACCCCGCCCTCAGCTAACACTGAAACCCTCTACTCTTCCAACCACTCCATCCCCCACAGTTATTACCCCTTGTTTCACTATCCCCTTCCTCCTAGATTGTAAGCTCCAAGGAGCAGGGCCCTCAAACCCCTCTTGTATTGTATTGTATTGTTACTGTTCTGTCTCCCACCATAATGTAAAGCGCTGAGAAAACTGTCGGCACTATATGAATCCTATATAATTATAATAATAATAGATGTCCTCCAAATGTCACCTTCGTGTTCAAATAAAGTGCAGTCCTTCAATCACCGTCTCTTTTGAACTCACAATGGAAATTTCTCTCCCAGATATCCAATCTCAAAGATAAACTATATAGTGTAGTATGCATTTACTCCATATGTGTAATAAAGCATTCATATAATTAATATTATTATTATTATTATACAGTATTTATAAAGCGCCAATAGTTGGCTCAGCGCTGTACATTACAAAGGGGGACAGAACATGTGACAGAACAATACCAATACAATGCAAAACATGAGGGGATTGAGGGCCCTGCTCCTTGGAGCTTACAATCTAGGAGGGAGGGGATGGTGGTACAGGAGGAGATAGCTGTGGGGGATGGAGTGGTAGGAAGAGTGGAGGAGATTGGCAATTAGCAGGGGACGAGGTAGGCTTCCCTGAAGAGGTGGGTTTTCAGGGTGCGCCTAAAGGAGAGGAGAGTAGGTGATAATCTGATGGGTTGGGGCAGGGAGTTCCAGAGGATGGGTGACACCCTGGAGAAGTCCTGGAGGCGGGCATGGGAGGAGGAGACCAGGGAACTAGAGAGAAGGAGGTCTTGTGAGGAGCGGAGTGTGCGTGTTGGGCGGTACTTGGATATTAGGTCAGTGATGTAGTACGGAGCAGTATGGTGGACGGCTTTGTACGTCAGTGTTAGGATTTTGAATTTAATCCGTTGCGCAATCGGAAGCCAGTGGAGGGATTGGCAGAGGGGGTGGCGGAAACGGAGCGGTTGGAAAGGTGAATGAGTCTGTAATGTGCTCCCATTAAAAAAAGTATGTGCAGACTTTTCATATACCACTTCAAATTCATCCTGTCCAATCCTCATTTGCGATGTCTTGAAGTGACGTTAGGCGCCGGAAGTGGCGTCATCACGTCCACCGGAAGTTGTTTTATTTGTAGTACCTTGCTAAACAGATACCTCAATTTTTTTTTTCTTTAGGTTTAACCGGATTGCCCAAAATGTTTGGGAAAAAGAAGAAAAAAATTGAAATTTCAGGGCCTTCTAACTTTGAACACAGGGTTCACACGGGATTCGATCACAAGGAACAGAAGTTTATAGGCCTTCCTCAACAATGGCAAAGTTTGCTGGCAGACACAGCCAATAGGCCTAAGCCTATGGTGGATCCATCATGTATCACACCGATACAACTTGCACCCATGAAGGTAAGAAAATCCATTTCCATAGTGATCCTCATGTATATGTCTTAACATTTTTTTTTTTTTTTTCATTTTGTGTTAATTATTATATATTAGAAATTTCAGGAGTAAGTCCTTTTTGAGATGGGTGGGGCAGATGTTAACTGTAGTCCAAGACATACTCTCACTACCTGGATCTGGCTGGCCAGAGGTGGCTGTACTGCCGTTTTCACTAGCTTGTATTTCTGTGAAGAAACCAGCACAGACCATAGGGATAACCTATAGCAGTGTTTTTCAACCTTTTTTGTGCAAAGGCACACTTTTTTCATGAAAAAAATCACGAGGCACACCACCATTAGAAAATGTTAAAAAAATTTACCTCTGTGCCTATATTGACTATATATAAAGTAATTCTCTTGAATAGGAATCAAACACAAAGAAATTATTTTATAATTACTTTATTATGAAATAATAAAGTATTTTATAATTGGACCCGGGGGCCGGACCAAGAGTAGATGAATGATGTGTATGTGTCATCCATAGTAAGTATAGTAATATTCCCCCATAGTAAGCATAGTAATTAATCCCCCATATAGTAATTCATCCCCCATAGTAATTCATCCCCCATATAGTAATTCATCCCCCATATAGTAATTCATCCCCCATAGTAATTCATCCCCCATAGTAATTAATCCCCCATATAGTAATTCATCCCCCATAGTAATTCATCCCCCATATAGTAAATTCATCCCCCATATAGTAATTCATCCCCCCCATATAGTAATTCATCCCCCATATAGTAATTCATCCCCCATATAGTAATTCATCCCCCATATAGTAATTCATCCCCCCTATAGTAATTCATCCCCCCTATAGTAATTAATCCCCCATATAGTAATTCATCCCCCATAGTAATTCATCCCCCATATTAAGTCCCCAAGCCCCCCCTGTGTCAATTCACTTACCTTTGCTCCGCGCGTTCCTCTCGCCGTTCCGGTGTAGCATGAAAATCTGTCTCCTATGAGGATCTGTCCCCCTCGACGTATCTGCGCATGTGCCAGTTTCAGGCATTAGCAGCTGATCGGCGATCTCCGGCACATGCGCAGATACGTCGAGGGGGACAGATCATCCTGACAGTATCACGCTCCGCGGGCCGGATTAAAAGGTCCGCCGGGCCGTAGTTTGCCCATTGCTGTTCTAATGATTGGTCTATTTGTGAGCCGAGGCCACATGTTACGGATGAAATTGCAATTTTTCCCGCGGCACACCAGACAATATCTCACGGCACACTAGTGTGCCGCGGCACAGTGGTTGAAAAACGCTGACCTATAGTACCAACTAGCAACAAATCCATCCACCACCTGACCCTTATCGGCACAGGCAGAGAGTTCATGGTTGACGGTGAAACCGTAGTATAGCTCAAATCAAGAACAAACCTACACTCAGTCAATAAGCCTCACAGTTTTAATAAAGTCAGTTGTGATACCAAAAAGTACAATAAAAGGCATAGTAATTTTTTGTTATTACTGCTGCAATATGACCTCATTAAAAACGTGAGGTTTATTGGTTGAATGCTGTTTTTGTTTTGTATTTGAGCATAGAGTACCAGTACTCTAATGTTGTACCTTACACACAGATCTGATGTCTACAACCCCAGCAGAGAGACGTTCACATGTCATGGCTGTGATCAGGGGCGGACTGACCGTTTGGAAACTCAGGCACTGCCTGAGGGACCGGGGTCAGTAGGGGGCCCCATGAGATGCCCCTGGTACCTTTTTCATAGGCTTTTTTGAGTTTGGGCAAGGACACAGGGGCCCCATGATCCCCTATTGCCCGGGGGCCCCATGAGTTGTCAGTCCACCCCTGGCTGTGATAGTACCTTAAAGCTGGCCAATCACATGCCAGTTTTCAGGTACGTTCAGCTACTTTTTACCGAATTGAAACCAAAGACTATTTGTTGGATCAAGGTTACCTACCACCAATGGTTTCAGCTGTATCAACCATGTGTTTATTGGTTGAGTGTTGGTTTTTGCTTGATTTGAGCATAGAGACACCCTAATGTCGTACCTTACATGCAGCATTTATAAGATAATGGTTGCCTACAACCACAACAGAAAAATTTCCGACCGGTTAGGTCTTTGATAATAGTTTTAGTCATGAACATACCAATTTTCAGGTTTGGCCACTTTTTACCACCTTGATACCAAAGACTATCATTTGGATCAAGATTACTATCACTGATGGTTCAGCTGTATCAAGCATGAGGTTTATTGGTCAAGTGCTGACTTTTTCTTGAATTCAGTATACAGAACCAGACATTTATTTATTTATTTCAGGTACTTATATAGCGCCATCAATTTACACCGCACTTTACATATATATAGTACATTCACATCAGTCCCTAACCCTCAAGGAGCGTACACTGTAAGGCCCCCAACTCACATTCATACATACACATACTAGGGACAATTTAGACAGGAGCCAGTTCACCAACCAGCATGTCTTTGTAGTGTGGGAAGAAATCGGAGGAAACCCACACAGGCACAGGGAGAACATGCAAACTCCAGGCAGTTGGTGCCAATTTAGACAGGAGCCAGTTCACCAACCAGCATGTCTTTGGAGTGTGGGAGGAAATCAGAGGAAACCCATGCAGGCACAGGGAGAACATGCAAACTCCAGGCAGTTGGTGCCAATTTAGACAGGAGCCAGTTTACCAACCAGCATGTCTTTGGAGTGTGGGAGGAAATCATGCAGGCACAGGGAGAACATGCAAACTCCAGGCAGGTGGTGCTGTGGTTGGGATTCGAAGCAACGACCCTAGTACTGCCAGGCGGAAGTGCTAACCATTTAGCCACTGTGCTGCCCAACAGACATCTTAAT